CCCAGGTGTTTTGTGCAATTAAAATAATCAATTAATGCCACAATTATTGGACCTATTCAGTGCAAGCACACTTGGAGAATATAAATACAAAGGGTTGTTGCAACGCTTAAGTGAGCTACTCTTTGTAAAACAGTGGTGTGCTGGAGTTTGCTCCGGCGTGTCTCTTCCCAACTCTGTTTAGGGATGCTATCATCATACCTTTGAATCAGTGATGGCATCAGTATTTATACTATGGAAATTGGAAGACACTACAAATCAGAGCATTTTTTGGAAGAACTGGTTTAATAACCTACCGTTGAACATGTCCCTGCCCTCTAAGTATTTTATTCTGATAGGTTCCTTCACCGAGGCTCTTTTTGTCTTTGGCTTTGATCTTAACAACTAGTGATAAAAATATAAGTTCATAATTTGTGTTTCTCCCCACCCCCAAGTTCATTTTTTATTATGGCTAAGGAAACATATCAAATAAATATGTAATCAGTTGTTGGTGTAAAGTCATATTCACTACACTGTATATTATTGAGTTTCTAGAAACACAGGCAAGTGAAAATATTTTTACTGGTAATAATGTATTATTGAAAATTGCTACTGCAGGGATCTTTGTAATCCTATAGATGTGTTCTGTTTGTTTTTATATCTGCCAGAAATACAAGCAGCTTTAAAACCGGGAACTTGGTATATATGCGGCCCTATGCTCTTTCCATCCTAGTCCAGCCTTCGGATGGGGAGGTGGGAAAAGAGCTTCCAGTGCAACCGCAACTCGTGTTTTTGGACAAGCAGGTAACTTTTCACAGGTACCCTTCTTTGCTGAGAGCTGAGCAGTGTGTTGTATTCAGCATGCGTTTTAGATTTTGTCATCACCGGTACACATTTACAGAGTACCCGCTGTGTCATCTGTTGCATTTACATCTTTTCACGACTTTTGTCCTTTTCCCTCCACTTCACAGTTTGCCTTCCTTCCGTTTTCATGACTGCTCAGAATTTGATCAAGGGTAAATTAAAATTTGAATATATTTCTTCCCCAAGCAAATTCTTGAAATCTAGACTTCTTGAAGAAGTATATCTTTTTATATGCTAATGAAGGAACTTACGACGTCACGTACGCATAGCAGTTTTACGTTATTTTGGATGATCGTTCTCATGTGTAGTTTAGTAACTCATCCTTAAGAGGCTTCTGTGCTTATTTACAATTTCAGGCTCTGTGTACTCTGACTCTATTTTATCTTTTCTATATTTAGGAAACTCATGGGGAAAAAATGCAAAATATGATCATTGACTCAGCTTTCTCCTCTTTATTTTACAAATGCATCCCCTCCACCCGACATGTGCAGAGAGAAGTCCCTGGGACTGAGATCCACACTTGGAAACCTGTGGACTTTGATCTAGCCGGGCTCTCGCCCAGCTCCCTCCTGCCTTCTCTTAACCTTTCCATTCTTCTTCAGCGCACTGCGCCACTCTCCTCTTCCATAAACTTAGCTTTCCTTTCCCCTCTTCACTGCCCTGCCCTAGCTTGTCCTGTACTAATCTCCCTTCCCTTCTTTAAATAAGTTGATTTCGATATGTTCTTTTTTTTCCCAAAATATTAAGGGGATAAAAGTATTTTTGTTGCATGGATGAATTGTATAATGCTGAAGGCAGGGCTTTTAGTGTGCGCATCACCAGAATAATGCACATATATCCAATAGGTAAGTTTTTATCCCTCATTGCCTCCCACCCTCTTCCCTTCTTAGTTTCCAATGTTCTCTACA